TGCTTATATATTTCCCTAACATTGACTTTATATGTATTTATGCTGCAGTTTTCTTTCTTTATCTTTTCTTGTTTTGTTATTATTCCTGAACATTCAATACTCTCTTATAATAGTCATTCCACAGACTCTTGACAGATTGGGTTTGAAGTAGCACATTGCCATATAAAAATGAATGCATATTAAAAACTTTAGGCAATAATTAGATATTTTTTCATCTAAATATTGGTTATAGCCATGTATACAATATAGGTCTATATATTTCAGTATTATGCAGAAATAGACATCACATCATATGGCTAAACGAATCGCTTGCAATATTCCATTTTTTTCTTCATCCTTTTTTAGAGTATTACGTTTACGTATATAAAAGTTATAGCATTGTCCTTTAGTAATCAGTAAATAATATGTGGTTGGGTATCTAGTACCAAGAAAGCTATTTAGAATAGACTGAAATTAAGTTTAAACTGAGATTTAGCTCCATTTCCATTCCAATTTTATCCTGTGTAAATACTCCCATAAATTTATAAGATGACTGAAAAAAGATCAAAGGTCTGTGGGGATAACAAATTCCTTTCTCTGCACCAAAGTGACTTACATTACATGATCTGAACAGAAAACCTTGTCTGTGTTCACACTGTGCTTTCACCAACGAAATGGACCAACCTGACCATAAATCTCTGCTTCGTGCCTATCCAAATTGAGATTTGTTATCACATTATTGAGGAAGAAATGATGCCCAGACTCTCTACAAATTTTCTGTGTGCACACAATGCGATGCCATCTTCCACCTGCCGTTGAAAATAGTCCCCCAGCCCTACCAGTGTCCATGCCTGAATTTGCAAAGACTGGATCTGATTCCATTTGTCTTGTCCCCATTAGATGCGTACGCCCCTGCCCCTGCCTCATTCCTTACTTTTCTTCCTATAGGCATCTGTATCTGAAAAACAAAACTAACCTCCAAATGAAATGCCACTAGCCAAAAATGTCCAAAGAGTAGGCCAGGGAAAATTTAGGAATAACATTCTTGAACTAAAGATTTTTTAAGAAGTTAGGATGGTATTTCCAAATAAGAAGGAAAAGAAGGAGATAGCAAAATAATAATCATGAATTAAATTCTTAAGAAGGCAAGGCCTATAAAGATCCAGATCCAAAATCATTTTATTTAATCTTGACGACATTGTCTAACTCTATCTTTCCACTTTGTCGTTGGCTAATTTTTTCATCTCAAGCTTTGTCTCTTCTTCTGTCCTCTCTTTCTGAAATTCTTTGTACTCATCCTCTCTCACCTCCGTCATTATAATCTTCAGTTTTGTCAAAAAACGCCCATTGCTTTGTCAGTGTCTGGTAAATCAGTTACAGATGAGAGTTTCCGCTTTCACACAGGTTACAATAGAAGTAAATGCACTCATTGGTAGATAATAATACTAACACTACCACCACCAACAAATTGAATTAGTATGTGGAAAGCGTCATGGAAAGGTGGTAACAAGTGTCCAGGTTCAGTGGAGATACTTTGTGGTATGAGCGACGGAAGAGAAATAGAACTATCGCGGAGCCTTAGAGGTCCAGAGGAAGTGTAGACGAGCCAAGCGGTGTTGCAACTGGCTACTGCAAGTTCTGTTTTAATGAATCATACAAGAAAAAAAATACAAAACAATCCCTGCCCAGCTCCAGGCCCAGCTCCTAGCTCAGTGGTGGACTCGGTTGTTCTGATAAGGAGTTGAGCACGTATACCGAAGACAGTGAGAAGATACCAGAAGGTGTTTTGTTTTGTTTTGTTTTGTTTTGTTTTCCCCCTCTTCTTTTTAAGGTGTAGAACAAGGAAAGAAATGAATGAGACTGCAGGTAGATTAGGAAACTATAATAATGTTCTAGGTAAAGCATGATAAAGGCATAAATTAAGGCAATGTCGATGGAATTGAAGAAAGGGAAAATATTTTAGAGACTGTTAAAAACTAAAATTACAAGACTAGAGGAGGATTTAAATACTTAGGGGAATGAGTCTGGAGATGAGGAATCAGGATCGTCAACACATAGCAGGTCTTTATAAGGAACTCTAATGATAGAAAATAAGAATAAAACTGACCAAAGGTTAAAGCCCATAGAACCCCAATATTTAAAAGCAGACAAATACGAAGACCCAGAAGATAGATAAGTAGATATATGTGTGTGTGTATTATAAACTCACATATAAAAACTAGAATATATATGTGTGTGTATCTGGATATGTGTATTTATAGGAAGAGTGTAGAAATATCTATATTCCTACACTAGCTAATTGTCACTGGTTGACATCTTTGAAATAGCCCAGAATAGAGAAAAGACTTAGCTCAAGCTAACCACTCTGACCCTCTCCTTAGCTACAGAGAGCAAGAGAGAAAAAGGAAAGACAGATGCCTAAGTCCACCTTACCTTTTCCCTTACAAAATGCCTTTCAAGTTCTGGCAATGATAAGGATCACAGGCAGATTTTTTTAAAGAAAAATATCTATAAAAAGTTCATAAAAGATAAATTGTGGAATATTCAGAACTTAATGATTGCTAATCAAATGTCAATTCATACTTTGTATTGAAAACCTGTGTGATGTTCAAGGCATAGTACATGTTTGTAACATGAAATACTTCTTTAAATGTAGATGGAAAAATGAAGAATTATGACCAGGAAATGACTCTAAAGTGATATGACTCATAACTCACATACCATAACCCATGTACCCTAGCTGGTATGGTATAGAGTGATAGATTTGCCTGCCATCGCACCTGGTTTAGAGTCAAAGAACATTCATCATTATCTGCATTCTCAAAACCATCATCGTCTCCTAGAATTATTTAGAAATGTTCAACAGAGTTTTGGTTTCCGGCTATCATGGCAAAGAGGCACAGAGCAAAGAGATTGCAAACTTTTGTGTAAAACTCACCCCAGCATGATTGCCATGGCAAACTTTAACTTTGCCTTTCTGTATTTGTATTTTAGGGATTAAATAACATATCTGAATTGTGCATATATTTGTCCATTAATTGATGTCTGTCTACATTTGGCTCTACTTTTTTATTCCATTAGAGTACACAATATAAATGTGATGCCAAAAGCCTAATATTTCCTATGATCCCTAAACTCAATTTTAACACAGTAAAATCAAAGATAATGATCAAACTTATTTGTTGCTAATAAAGAAAAATATGTAATTTAAAGCATTAATAACTTCCCAAATCCTACATTGAATCACAAAATGACTCTCAGAACTTTAAAGGATGATAAATGAGATATGCAGACGCAGATAATTATATCTACTTTTTCAAAAAAAAAAGTATTGATTCCAGGAAGACTATCAATGCCTTTTAGAAAAATGTTTGCTCTCAATATTTACATAAACAATTGAAGTCAAGCTTGATCCTTCAAAATAAATCTATGTATATCTCTCCATTTATTTAAGTACAAATTGTTTAGCAAAATAGATTCAAAAGTTTCTAGATAATTTTATACTTTCTTATTTTGACCATAAGTTCGAAGATATTTCTCATGGTAAAAATCCTTAATTGACTGAGTTCATAGTTCATAGTGGTTTCCTCTGTGTCCTACAAAACATTTCAGTGTTTCTTTGTGCTCATTTAGAAATGCTTTGCTACCGTTCTTGAATGAGGATTTTTAATGAATATTCATTCTGATTTATGATAATCCACATATTATTACCACCCTGCTAAAATCATTATTCATTACAGTTTGCTTTTGATCATGATAGCTAACTTTACAGGGAAGTTCCCTTGATAGACATTTTCTGTACTAAAACAAAACGCTGTATCCATACAAAAAATTTTAGACCACCTTTGCAGTTAAAAACACAACAGTATCTTCCACTGCTTTCCACTCTCCCTGATTACACAAAATACCAACTGACCACATAACAAGCTCAGGAGGTAGCTACCGCCCTGCCTTTTAGAAGAAGGAAGAATGGTGGAAAGTTGAAAACAGATTTCAATGAATTCCAGTAAGCGAGACTTTTAATTTTCTTTTTTTTAAACTTCTTTGGAATTTCTGCAAAAATGCCACTTTCACTGTCCTTTCCATAGTGAGAAACAACTTTTAGATACTACATCATATGGAGTATACTTAACATAATTTATTAGTTATGTTTAACAATCAACTGAAATGCACTCATGATCCAAACTGAAACTATTCAAGAAATGTCCATTAAAAGGATAGCATGTAGCCAAAGATCTCCAGCTTAAATAAGTACTTGAGATCCCCATTACATTTTCCTACAGAAGACAGCATTTGCGTGATTCCTATGAGTTTAAGTATTTTTACTGCATCAAGGCTCTAATATTTACCCATCACCCAGGAAGGGCGGTGGCCCCGTAAGAATTTCCAAGGCAAATAATCATTAAAACTACTGAGAAGAAACCAAAAACTTGATTTAAAATACATTCTGTGCTAAGAATATGCATAAAATGAATATTTTATTAAATTCCCAAATGGATTATTTAAACTATCCTATAGATAAGTATTCAATAAAATATTTTAGTAGTAATCAAAATTTGAGGAAGCAGACTCCAGTTCAAAAAGAAAGAGTGGCTTACATGCTACCGAAGCCATATTATGACTCAAAAAAGGCATTTTCTGTTAAAAGGATGAAAATTCACTTATTTTGTCATTAAGATCTCCTCAGATTTTCATAAACTTATGTTTACGCGTTTGAGGGTTAAGTAACAGCATTACTTTTGTAATATCCTTGAACACTTTGCAAACAAAGATACAGTCAGACAAGTTTCTTTTAAATTGTGATTTTTTCCCCCAAACATTTATGCCTTTTTAAACAGAAACAATGTATTCTCTCACATAGCAAGCCAGGTCTCTCTGAGCTCCAATAGCCTTGACCATTTTCTAGTGAGCTTCCTTATTTCCAGTCACCAACACTTAACTTATTTTTATGTCTTTTTCAAACCAATATCCCTCCACAAGGAAAAAAATAACTAAGGACATATTAATATACTTGTACTTACCTGTAACAAACACGCCTGTATCCAGAAAGGCAAAGCCAAATGCCAAAAGTTTAAGCCACAAATACATGGTCATATCTGGAAATCAGCTGTATTCCTATGAAACAGCATGCGTCCTTCTGAAAGGCAAAATAATAGTTATCTTTGCAAAAGTTTTTCTTTGCGAAACAGAATAAAAAATAAAAGAAATGAGTGCATACTCTTTGCTGTTGTCTTATCAGACAGGGAACAATTTCCTCCTCTGCTACCCCAAGAACAAACCACTTTGCTAGCTACACAAACTGCTAGGTAGTGATGTCAGATTCGGTTTTACTAACTTCTCCAAAAATACTGTAAAGGATCTTCTTTGCAGGAAGTCAAGAAAGTTGTTCAAAGTCAGTGCAAAAGCATCTTACTTCCTTAATTCAAGTAACTAATTACTTGAATAAGTTTCTAGGCCTTTTAAAAGATTTTTCTCCTTCAAGAAAGATGTTTTTTAAGTATCCGAATAATACTCCCTTACAGTATTCATTACAACTTAAAAAAATAACATCCCCACCCCAAAATAAGCAATAATTCTCTTACCTAAGAGGGAATAAAATAGATTCAGGATGGGTAAAACAAAATGGGGGTTGGCAAGATGACACAGTGATTGAATTAGTAGAAAATACCTGTATTTGACTCAAAATGACCAGATGAGTGACCGACCTGGGTTTTTTTGTTTTTTTTGTTTTTTTGTGTGTTTTCTTTTTGTTTTTTGTTTTTGTTTTTTTGTTTTGTTTTTTTGTTTGTTTCTTTCTTTTTTTTTTTTTTTTTTTTTGCAACCAGGGTCGTTTACCAGGCAGGCATTCAAACTTCACCAATAGGACAGTTTTAGAGGTCAAACCCATTTTCTATGCAAACGCACTCTCTCAGAAAGCTGAACAGGTTTGCCCCAAGTCTTTCACAGAGCTCCTCGTGGTGCTAGGAATGGAATCAGAAGGTCACTTCCACAGCAGCAAATCCTGCTTCAAAAAAGGAATGCTGTTCCTGGCTTGAGAGATTCTTGGTGCTGTTGATGAGGGAATCAAGGGCAATGAAATTGAGAGCTGGGTTTTTTTTTTTGCTCTTTTTTTTTTTTTAATAGAAGTGAACCTTTTCCCCCCGCCCCCCTTCAGCAATACTTTCACAATTTTTTTTTTGATTAAAAGACAGCAAATTAACATAGAGCATTTTCCCTGATACTGATGGTGTTTTTAGTAAGTCCATTGATTAGGAAAACACATACTGGCAAAAAGCTGCTATGAATCCTGTGATACAATTAAACTGGTATCATTATCACAATATCTGGTTCATCTACAAAGACTAGTGCACATGTACACAAGGATTATTATTGGAGCCACACAGGATACCTAAGGGACTTACAGACAAACAGAACCCTTGTGGTAACTGCAATCCTTGGTCAGAAAGCCCTATTGCAGGCTTCTTGTGTTTAAGTAAATAAAACTTTTTGTATTTACCAACTTATTTGTTTTACTCTTATGTTGACTGCTACTTATGTTGGAACTACAGAGCCAAATTTGCACACCTCCTCTTTGAGCAAATAAAAATAATCCCACATGTGAAATTCTGAGTCATAACATGTCATTATAATCTCATTTTTTAAAAAAGTCTCATTAAAATGAGATTTTTTTGGTATGATTTTGATTTTATTATTAAGTTCATAGCTAACTTTCGGGGGTGTTGCCCGGGCCAAGAATATGCGTAGCACTTTAACTGCATAATCTAATTTGTACTACACTTCAGACAGATAATGTTATTATTCCCCATTTGACCCATAAAGTTCAGAGAGGCTAGGTGATTTGCAGGTTCTCACAGCTAAGAAGTAGACAAAGTAAGTTTTGAACCATCCCCAAATTTCATGTTCTTTTTCTTTCTTGTTTTACTACCCTTCCTTTTTCTCACTTCCTTCCCCAATCTTTTTAACTATGTATTTTTATCATTTTTAACCTCTAAAAAGTAGAACATTGATTTGATAAAAATGATGTAGCCCTCTTTTGGCAAATGTCTTCCTAAATAAAATAGTTGTGACTGTGGGGACTACTCTTCGGTAGGTAAGCCTAATGAAAACTGTGTGCCAGGGGTCACAAACGTAAGTACTCAGCTACAGAGTCTATTTCTTCAAATACATTTGCAATGGAAAACTATCTGGGGGTTAGCTTTAAATATCTTTAAGCAAATACTTGTGTTCTGTTAGCTTGTTATTATAGCTGAATATTTGCCAAAACTAGAGGCCAGGAAGAAAGTGCATGACATTCAAGGGAGTTAAGTATAAGAAATATACTCTATAACAAGCTAAAGATAGGAGGGGTTTAGAAGCCTTAAAGAGGTATTTTTAAAAGGGCTTTGCAGATCATGGATTTGAAGAAATAGTAAGAACTTAGGAGATTCAGCTCCGTTTTAGGCAAGTGGCCAGAGAGATTCGACCCAAGATATACTGAAATTAATTAACACTACATGAATGGAATTGTATGTGCTTGTTTTAATGTGTTAAAGTTGAGTTTAGTATCTACAGGAAGTATGACTTGGGGTAGCCAAATTTATATTGTATGCTACAAAGTTATAAAGAAATAGAGCCTAGGGGCGCCCGGGTGGCTCAGTTGGTTGAGCTTCCGACATCAGCTCAGGTCATGATCTCGCAGTTGACGAGTTCGAGCCCCGCATCAAGCTCTGTGCTGACAGCTCAGAGCCTGGAGCCTGCTTCAGATCTGTGTCTCCCTCTCTCTCTGCCTCTCCCCTGCTCATGCTCTGTCTCTCTCTGTCTCAAAAATAAAGATAAACATGAAAAAAATTTTTTTTAAGAAATAGAGCCTAATGTAGACAGATAGCAAAAAATAAATATGCGCTCAATTCAGATGTTTTCAGAATGGAGGCAACGGTGAGCCAGAAGGTTGATATCCTTGAGACACAAACTGTCAGGATGGAGACAAGAAGGAAGACCCTAACAGTTTGCTGGGGGAAAGATCATAGTTCCCCTGTGACAGTGGATGGTACTAAACTGGATGACCTAGTCAGGGGTTTGGTTAGTAGCTGGCCTTTCCACAGGTCATCTGAAGAAATCCCTGCTTTATCATATATGGGCTTAGCATTCAGGCCCTAGGCAGGCAGCACCAAACTCTCATAGAAATAGGACTATTTGTGACAAACTGATGTGATCCACTGTCTTGATTCTGAGAGAGAAAGTAGGTAGGCTGCTGATAAATTTACACACACACACACACACACACACACACACATATAGATATATGGAAGCAACATCAGAATATATATGTAATAAAGAGGGGCACTTGGGTGGCTCAGTCAGTTAAGCATCTAACTCTTGGTTTTGGCTCAGGTCATGATCTCACAGTCTCATGAGTTCAAGCCCTGTGTCAGGCTCTGTGCCAGCAGCACAAAGCTTGTTTGGGATTCTCTGCCTCCTTCCCTCTCTCTCCTTGCACTGTCTCTGTCTCTGTCTCTTTCAAAATAAATGAATAAAGTTAAAAAAATGTATATGTTGTAAAGAGTATGGTACTTTCTGGGAGGTTGAAATAGGATGTATCCAGAACAATCTCAAAGTTTGATCAGTTAAATTTCAAAATAATCACAGCTGATTCATTTGTAACAGATTTTTAAAGCTGTCATATTAAATAAGTAAATAATATCTTATTTAAATTAATCATCACTTTCCAGATATTTTAGTCATATAATAATGTTATGTAAGGATAGAAACAGATTACATGAGATTGAGTCCGGAAGCAGACATTATCCATTCATGCATTCAACAAATACATAGTTATTTCCTAACCTATAAGACAGTTATTTTTTGTAATGTGAAGAAAGAATGGTGAACAAGAACAGACACGTTCCCTGCCCTGATGGAATCTACATTCCAGTGAAAGGGACAATAATTAATTAAATAATCACTGTGACAACTTTAGCACACAGGAAGTACTTGATGTTATGATTTAAGGATATAACAGGGTATTTGGTCTAGTAGTGAGGTGAGGTTTGCCTGAAATAAAAATCAATGAAGGTATACCTGAAAAAATAATGGAAGTTAAGTGGGCATATGGAGGAAAAAAAAGAGCATTCTGGGCAGAAAGAATCATGTATTTAAAGGATAGTGTGTTCAAGAAACAGAAAAAGGCGTGTGTGGCTGGCATAAACAGAAGCTGAAGCCTGGAACGTTGCAATATATTAAAGTATCAAATCCACACATTGCACACCTTAAATTTACACAATGTTGTGTAACAATTATATCTCAATTTAAATAAAAAGAAGTAGACACGAAAAAGAAAGAAAACAACAACAACGACGACGACAACAACAACAAAACATGAATTGTCAGAGGGAGATGATACCAAACTCTGCTAGGCTTTGTGGTTCTAAGAGATTTAACTTTATCTTAAGAGATATGGAGAGCTATTGAAACTTTTTAAGCATTATTCTTGAATCTTCTTGCCAATGATATCCAATTTGCCAGATCTCATACCATCACTTATTTCTCATCTAATGCGATTTTTCATCAGCATTAAATATGGTTAGCCTCTCCTCCAATCCTTATATTTTGCCAGTTTCAAAACACCATTACCTACTGTTCTTTCTTGACCTTCATTGTCTTATCCTCAGCAGCTGCCATGTTGAGTTCTATTCCTCTATCTGATTTCTAAGTATTGTGATACATTAAAGTTCAGCCCTGGGTCCACTTCTCTCTTTCCGAGTGAACTCTTTCATGCTGATGACTTACAAAACACATACCTCCAGTCAGATCTGCAGTTCAGATCTCTGGATTCACATTTGGTAGTGCATTCTTGACAGGTACATTAGATTACCTCACAACCAACTCGGTGGAATGTGAAAGTTTTCTTTAAACCTGCCCTAACTCTCAATCCATATCTGCAAATGCACCAACAAACATCATATCACTTACGATGGAAGCCTTAGTGTTATTTTTTATTTCTCCTGTTCTGTCATAACTGCATTCAATTTATTACCAAGTCCCATTTATTCTGTCTCCACCACCTTTTTTAAAAATTTATTTATATATTTTGAGGGGGCAGGGGGTAGGGGCAGAGAGAGACAGAGAGGGAGAGACAGAATCCCAAGCAGGCTCCATGCTCGATGTGGGGCTCGAAATCATGAACGTGAAGTCATGACCTGAGCTGCAATCAAGAGTCAGACACTTAACCCACTGAGCCACCCAGGCGCCCCTCTATTCCCACCATCTTAACTGTGCTGCATTTCCAATTATATCACTTAAGACCAAGCCATCATCACTGCTCACATAGCCTTTTAACTGATCTTCAAGCTTCTATCTTATTTTC